ATATATATATATATATATTACTTCGATTTCTATCATTAAACCCACTCCAATAATATTTTTTCTCTCGTATTGGAATGCTAATATATTGAAAATACACTAAATGATCGGAAAACTCTATATTTACAAGTAAATTTTGAATTTCATCATTTACTACACCCCGACATACACGTAGAGATATTTGCTCTCCACCATTAATGCGTAATCAACCTATATACATAAGATAAAAAGAAATTGTGCATCAATTATTTTTCTTTTATAACAAAAAATGACTTTCCCCACGTTCACATCATACATCTTCACCTTCACACGAAAAATAAAGGAAAATCTAATTATAAAACTATGATAACGAAGGAAGAGAAATTTGGATATATTTTTTAATTAGTGATGCAAGCAATGACGAACCGATCGATTTACCACAAGATCCTTATAATATTCCATCACCCCTAATGAAGTATTCAATACCAAAACTCAAACTCTTGACTTTCCTCAAAGGTAGGTACACTATACAATTAAGCATAAAAATATTTAGATAATTTTATTCTAAAAAGTTATGCTAATTTCTATAGCAATAGCTAACATAAAACCATATTATAACAATATTTTAATAGAATTTGGATATTTATCCTTTAATATGTTAAAATTCTTTCATTTTATTATTATTTTTACATTAAAAAATCTTTATCGTATAAATTTTTACTCTGCTAACTCATGACATGCTAGGATAAGTGCTTGCATTCAATTAATATACTGTAAACCTGCAAGACAGCTTGACTTTTTTTTTTTTCTTCCAAGAAACAACACAAGAATGTTACATGGTTTTAACAAAAACTTGCACAATTAGAACTGATTAGTATATTATTTTGCGGAAGGACCGCCACCAAAGAACAAAGAAGGAAACTTCATATATAATTTTTGTAGTTTGACTATGAACATGTTAGCAATAGATACGTAACTTTGTTTATAAAATTTTGGCTTGTTGAACAAGACAGCTCCACATGTCACTCTATATAAACTAGGCTAATGTTGGCGTGGAAAAGTACAACTTAGCTATAATGACAGATATAAAGTTACATGGATTTTGGTACAGTCCCTTCTCTATGAGGGTGAAGTGGACTCTTAAGCTTAAGAATATTCCATATGAGGATATAGAAGAAGATCGTTTCAATATGAGTGCTCAACTTCTTCAATACAATCCTGTGCACAAGAAGACTCCAGTTCTTGTTCATGATGGAAAACCCATATGTGAGTCCATGATCATTGTTGAATACATTGATCAGATATGGCCACAAAACCCATTACGTCCCACTAATGCATACGAGAAAGCTTTGGCTCAATTTTGGGTTAAATACGCTGATGACATGGTATAATGTTTTTAAGAGTTACTCATAGTATATTTCTTGTTTATAGTATCATTTGTTTCTTATAAAAAATAATTGATAGTAGTATATTATTTATCACACAACAATTCTCTACAACACTATTATTCTTGTTCTCTATAATTTTCATCATATCATTTTTTTTCTAATGCATATCTCTCTCGATCAATTTGTATATTCTTTTCTCGTAGTACAAAAATTTGTTAATATAAATTTAACATATAGTTATATTTTTCTTTTCCAACTTTTCCATATGTTACTATCCATGTTCTATTTAACTACAATAAAGTAATCATAATTAATTTACCTTCATTTTCACATTACTTTCTATGTGAATTGTTCAAACTTCAAAGTGACAAAAATATTGGTTTCAAATTTTAAAGGTTCCTGCGATTGCATCACTCGTTCGTTGCAGCAATGATATAGAAAAGGAGAATGCTATAGAGAAGATAAAGGAGCATCTTAGAGTGGTAGAGGATCAATGCTTTACAGAGGAGAAGAAATTTTTTGGGGGTGACACTATTAATATTGTGGACATAGCATTTGGGTCCGTAGTGAAATTTCTTGTGGTTCTTGAAGATGCTTTTGAAGTGAAGATCTTGGAATATGAGAAATTTCCTCACTTTCATTCATGGTATAATAATTTCAAAGATGCTCCAGTCATCAAAGAAAACCTCCCAGATCAAGACAAAATGGTGACTTTCTTAAAGTTTTTCAGAGAGAAAATTTTGGCATCTTCCTAAGAAAATATACACTCTTTATTATGCGTGTTTCTTTAGTTTCCACTCTATCTTGCATAGGTATGTGAGATATCAAGTCTAAATCATTTTATATCTATTTGAATAATTTTGCTTTGTAACTATTTGAATAATTTTGCTATGCTTGTTTCCACTTTGTGTTTGCCTTAATATTAAACCTCAATCAATAAATATATTCAGAGTGTTTTTATTCATACATATACTTGACCGAAATTCAGTCTTGTTATATCATATTAATAAATAAATAAAATATAGCGAAAGAATACTTTTTTAGTATATATTTATATAGAAAAGTGTTACACCGATGGTAAATATAAATTAAATTAAGAAGACATATACAAATGCAAGGGAATAAAAAAAATTGCAAATAATATTTCCCTTTTGCTTTTATACCCAAATGCGACATTGGAAACTACAAAGCAGAGGTACGTGATTTTGCTCAATTATGTTGCATTAGAGCAACTAAAAAAATTGTATCATTCCATTCAATAGAAAAATGGTTGGTGAGAGGAATATACAAAGAGGACGTGTTCCCCAAAGAATTACCAAATAAGTGAGAACGGAAACCTCGAATTTGACAGCAATAATTTATGTTAAATTATTAAGTTGGTTTTTGAATTATTTGAAAATTTTTAAATCGTTAAATTATTATTTTTAATTATATTTTTGATAATATAATTTTTAGTAATTTCAAGTTGTCAAAAACTAGCTTCAAGCTTATACTTTTTAAAGGACTTAATTAAACAAAAAATAATTTGAAAACCTATTAGAAAATTCCTAAAAATTATATATATATGCTCAATAATATAACCTATATTTTATTTTATTCTAAAATTAGAGCTTGTTGAAGTAGTAAACTTCATGGATCACCCCATATAATGATCATAGTTAGCTTTGAAGATTAGCACAATCTTCATCAATGACAGACTTCAAGTTGTATGAATTTTGGTATAATCCCTTCACTTTGAGGGTGAAATGCACCTTAGAATTAAAGGGAAAGATCGCTTCAACAAGAGTCCTCAACTTCTTGAATACAATCTTGTGTACAAGAGAAATCTAGTACTTGTTCATGCTAAAAAAACCCTATATGAGTCTATGTTTATTATTGAATACATTGTTGATATATGGCCACAAAATCCACTACTTCCTACCGATCCCTATGAGAAAGCTCTCACACAATTTTGGGTAAATATTCTAATAACTTGGTAAATGTTTATAAATTAATCACACATAAATTTCTAGCCTTTTATTTTATCATGATCATCACCATGTAGTTAAACATAACCATCGCTATAAGAAAAGTATAAATTAGCAACTGAAAATAACTTGTTTCTACTAAGCAATCAAATCATGCGTTCAATTTGGTATTTGACATTTTATTTTCTTAGCGATTGAAGTAGAGACTGAATTAATTTGTCACAACCATTTCGGTTGCTAAATTCGTTGTTGTTTATTTATTTATTCAAAATTAAAGTTTGCAACCGGAATAGCAATGGAATTAAAAAAAATGTAGCAGCCAAAATCGCATCAGTCGTTAAATATGAATTTTTGGATATAAATAACAACTAATGAAGAATCGGTCACTAAAGTTAAGAGATGTGTCTATTAACGATTGGATATAATTCAGTAGTTAAAATATTCAATATTAACTACTGATATTGATTCAGTCATAACAGTTTTTTGAATTTAGTGAATGAATAATTTTTTGTCACTAAATTTATTTTTAAAGAAAAAACTTTAAATTGATTTAAAAATTCTATACAAGTAACAAGCCATTTAAAATTATTTAATAGTTTGAAAATGACAACAATGATCTTGATGGTGATAAATTACAACCTCTTAAGCAAACATAAAGTACTAAATGACTAAACCAATTGTTTATATATATATATGTGTGTGTAATTAAATTACACTTTTGATCTCTTTACAATCTTTATCCACTATTTTGGTTCCACTCTTTTTTTAATTATACAATTTTGGTCTTTTAAATTTTAAAATTATATAATTTTAGTCTCTTTTTTCAATTAAATTATAATGCTAATGTTGATTTAGATAGTACTCATACATTTTAGTTTAGAAAATGATTAAAGAAATTGACCTAATAAAGGTTAAAACTTAAAACCCTCAATACAAAAAGTAATATTTAAGCGATCAAGCTAGTTATCTTTTATAATTATAATTAAGTTGATAGTATATTACATATAACATTATTTCTTAAATTAATTATTATTTTTTAAATTTCTTACCTAATGTTAATCTAGTTTAAAATAATAAATAATACATTTATTTAATAAAAATAATACTTTTTAAATAAATTAATTTATTATTTAATATATTTGTTATATAATCTAAAATAAAATAATAAAAAATACAATGTAAAATAAATTTCAACTCCTCCATTTATTTTTTTTTCTTTTTCTGTTGTATTAGACTAATTCTCGATCTAAGAACACATTTTTTTTTCCACGTTGAGTTGCTAAGTCACCTATTGGATACTCCATTTAATTTTTGTTAGAATAGTGGATTAAGCCTAACTCAACCCTACAAAATCGGCTTGTAAAGTGAGGGGTATTTTCCACTTATAGACTATTCAATTGCTTAATCTCTAGTTGATATGGGACTTAGATTTTTCTCAATACACCCCCTCACATCCAGCACTATTGGGCTTGGTACGTGGATAAATGGTGGGTGACCCTTTTTAATGATCTAGGATTGGCGGGACTTGGATTTTTCCTAATACACCCCCTCATGCCTATGAGGCATGCATCAATGGTAGGTGGCCCATTTAAAGTGGATCTAAATGGTTCTGATACCATCTTAGAATAGTGGATTCAAGCCGATTTTATAAGGTTAAGTTAGGCTTAAAAATCCACTATTCTAAGAATTTCCAATATTTTTTTAATTTATTGATTTTTAATTAGAATATTTGATAACAAAATAAAGTAATCTCTCTTCAACATTGTTATTTTCTGTGTGATAACAAAAGAAAGTAAATTAAGTGACAAGAAAATTTTATAAGATTTTGATAAATTAGTCTTTAGTTGTTAATTTTGGGATACTATGTAGATCATGTTTATGAAAAAAAAAATATTGTATTTTATTTATTAAAGTTAATTTTATTTTAATTTCTTATAAATACTAGATGATATTTATTAGTTTTTTATTTAATGTAAAGCCTGCATTGTATTAAGGTGTCAATGATAATTTTGAATATTATTTCTATTATAGATTTTATCTTCTTCTTAACTTTAGGTTGTTGTATAGTTGTGTAAAATATTTGCATCCTATTAGTATGCTCTGATTATTATGTGATAATAATGGAGTATATGGGTGTCAATTTTTTTTTTCTTCTAAAGATTACCGCAGTTGAAGCACTGTTCCGAAGCAACAATGTTGAAGAGAGAGAGAAGGACATAGAAAATAGTTGGGAGCATTTGAGAGTTGTTTAGGATCAGTGCTTAAGTAACCAAGAGAAATTCTTCTGGGGAGACACTATTAATGTTGTGGACTTAGCTTTTGGCTAATTGGCTCCATCATCAAATTTCTTACCATCTCTGAAGATATCTTTGAAGTAAAAGTTCTACAACCTCAGAAATTCCATCGTTTGTATTCATGGCATAATAACTTCAAGAGTGTCCCAATCATTGCACAAAACCTACCTGACCAAGAGAAAATGGTAGCTTTTGTTAAATCTCTTAGAGAAAGAACTTTGACATCGTCGTAATAAAATACTAGTACCTTATTTATTTATTTATATATCGGAA